CCCCCCCACCCGTCCCTCCGCTCGGCTGGTTCCACTGCGCAGTGGCGCGCCCGACTCCGGCCTCGTCACGTGGCCGTCTAGACACCCTGTCGCTTTAAAAAAAAAAAAAAAGCGATTGTGTTTCGCAAACAACAGATCGGGTTTCTAAAAGCTATTTCAACCCCCCTCCCCGTTACCGCCACCCTCTCCCAGGTCTACGGAGGGGTACCCAAGGGCGGAGGGAGGTGGGAGGCCGAGACAGTCTGGGGGTCGGCGGAGACCCAGCGGGAGCAGGGGAGAAATCGGAAGAGCTGGGGGTATGGAGCGGGCGAGTTTGGAACGGAACGAGTTGGTCCGTGGCCCGATTTAGACCGGCGGAGCTCGCCCCAGCGCTTCATTCATTCGATTTGTTTTAAGGCCCTGGCGGCAGATCCCTTGGAAAGGGGAGGAGAACGCTGTCTGTTTCAAAGACATTTACACCGGCCAGGACAGAGGCCCTGGGAAGTGTGCGCTAGAGGGAACAGCCGGCGGCCGAGGGCGGAGAGGCGGCGCGAATGTGACCTCAGCGGCCGCCGCGCTCCCTCCCGCCCTCTCCCGCTCCGGGCTCGGGTTTCTAGGACTGCCTGGAGAAGTGTGTCTTGTGCACAGCTCTGGAATGCATTTGGCAGGCTGACGAGCAGCGAGGGGCAGCATCCTGGAGGGAGGAGGGGTGCAGCTCGCCTGCGCGCCGCCGGCAGGTTTCCTCCCGGCCCGGAAGACCTCCGGCACCCGCCACTGGGCCTCCCGGCGCGGGAAGGTTACCCAGCGAGCAGACCTGTTTAGAGCTTTCATTCGCACGCGGGTCCTGTTTCTGCGTCCTGCTTGGCCTCGTGGCTTTCAAGGTGCTTAGGGTCAGAGTGTTTATCCCTTGTCCTCAGGTACCAAGGAAAGTTGTCCCCAGATGCAGGTGACTGCTTGGAAGTAGAAAAGGTATTTGTCAAGCAAAGGTCCTGGGTGCTGATGTGAGAATAGTACTAGAGTGTTTCAATGTTACTGAGACCACTAGTTGGCATGGTGATCCAACCTCACATATTATTTACTGGATTTTTAAAAAATCATTTGAAAGTGTGAGATTACGACAATAATGAAACTCAGAGGGAGTTTAAAGAATTTTTACAAAAAGTGGAATGTAATATTTATATTTCCCCACCGGAATTATATGTTTTGAAAAGGATACAATTTAGATGCCCTCCCTATCCAGTAACAATACTTGCTACATATTTAGAGGGCTAAAAGTATCATTCAGCAGAGGCCCTGGGTTCAGTTCCTAACACACTAACACACACACACACACACACACACACACACACACACACACACGGTAGAAATCAACACTTAAGAGTTGGGTATTCAGACCATTTCCCCTACCCTGCCAAAATCACTGGAATAAAAAAGAAAACCAACAGTTTTGGTCACATGATCCTCCTTCAGCTATGGAGCCCTAAGTTGGGAGGAGACAGCAAACTGCCCAGGAGTATGGAACCATCCACAGGACAGGAGAGAGCAGCGCTTCGAAAGTGACTGGGTAGCATAGCAATTTTGCTAAAAATTAAAATGCCGCATATTGGAATCGTGTGTACACACTCGAAAGCCACCTGGGCAGAAGGCTGCAGTCAAGATGACCAAGGAAGGGATGAAGAAAGGATGAAGAATCCACCCGTAAACAGGCAGGAAGCGACCCTGTTTCTTAGACCTTAGAGGTCTAAGAAATGTATATATATAGTCACCTTAGGAAGGAATAGGAAGGGTCTGGCGATGTGGCTCAGAGGTTATGAGCACTTACTGCTCTTCCAGGGGACCTCCCAACATCCACTTCTCCAGCTCCAGAAGAACCTGACCCCCTCTTCTGGTCTCCTCCACACTGCATTCATACTTGCTTGTGTGTGTGCACGTACATCACACACACACACACACACACACACACACACACACACACCACAAATAAGTCTTGGAAAGGCATAGAAGATTGAAAAAACGAAACTGATTTCATGTTGGAGTTCTGCCACTCGCTGGGTAGAGCTTGTACTGACTGTGGTCCTCCAGTGAGACACTGCCTTGAAAGACTTCTAAGGCTTTCCGAGCACATGCCGTGTTCTTGCAGGGACCCATTTTCTCTCTTGTGTTCTGGGTCTCACTAGACCAGAAAGGCTAAAGCAGGCTACAAGGTGACAGGAAGAATTAAAGAAACAGAAAGCAAATGCCGTCGTTCTCATGAAGCTTTGCAGCTACATGGACAAGCTACCGACATCTGGAAATCAGGTGAGTAGTGCTGAGACTCTTGGTGAGGAAGGGCCTGAGAACACACAAGGCAAATAGGTGTAATGGGTATTTCAGGAGCCTGAGTCTGATGTCACAGCTTGTCTGAATGGAACGTGCATATACTTGCAGAACTATGTTCCCATCTAGTGTAATTGTGGGTGTTTTAATTCAGGCGTCACCTCTATTTTGCCCTCTCCACACAGCTTTCCTCCTTCCTTTTACTACTTGACGTAGAAGTGGGTGGGATGCTGGGCAAGTAGCTGCAATGGCTGATGATGCTTTATGGTTCCCTGGCATCCCCTGGATCTGTTAGCATCCCAGCCTTCTTGACAGCCAGCCCCACCCCATCACATTCTTGCTCCTTCCCTTTCCAAGAAAGAAGCCAGAAGCCAGCAGTAGAGCTCTGCCTGGCTGGTATGTCTAGAAAGGGAGGGCTCTTCTTCCGCTGTGCAGGCTCAGGGGGGACCCACCAGCTCCCAAACTTCAGACTCTTCTGATCCTTTAAAAAAGAAAGTTGGGAGTCGAAGCTGTTGTGAATGGATTTGATTCTAGCCATTTTCTGGCAGAGAACATGGAATAAACTATCTCATTTGCAGTTGTTTATTTCCTGTTGTGGCTTCTATTTTCATCTTTCAGTCACTTTGGTGATAGTAATCAAACCCTAATCATGGTGCAGCCACAAGTCACAGAGACCAAAATAGCAGACTTATGACAGACAATGATGGAGACAGCTAAGGACCTGGCTATTAATCACCAGTCCCCTGCTCACTGCCCATTGGCTAGGTGTCTGGAGAAGCGCTGAAGCAGAGAGATCCGGCCTGTGCCCGAGGCCTCTGAGCAGCCAGAGTCCCTAGATCCAGAGCAGCAAAGCGCACAGGAAGTCACCTCAAAGAGGTAAACTCTCTTCACCTCTCAAGGCCAGAGGTGGCTCACAGAAGGGCCTGATGTGAGCCAGAGGAAGGACAACAAGAGTCTCCCAAAAGTCTTGACGCCTCAAAACGGCCACAAGCAAAAGCAGAAACCCTCCTCCCTGGG